CTCTCCACCCCGCCCCCCAAAAGCCCCCCCCCTCCCCCCCCCCGAACGCCGCCTGCCACTGCCTGGGCAGCTTCCGGATGTCAAGAGGGACTCCTGGCTGGGCACTGCTCCCGCTTCAGCAACACCAAAGGCAGGGGGCGCAAGCAGGGCTGCTCCACAGAGCTCAAAGTAGGCTGGGCCGGGGGGGGGGGGGGGGGCAAGCATCGAGGACAGGCAGAGGGGGAAAGGCACAAAAGCCAGCAGCCCCTTCCTCATCCAGGCTGTGGCTGTGGCCGTGGCGGCTGCGCCCTCCCCCTGCCCAGGACTTGGGCCACAGGGGAACCAGGAGAGGCGAGGCAGGATGGGACCACTAGGGCCCCCATCCAAAGGAACACGAGGCCAGCAGCCGAGGCCCCGGACGTCCAAGCGGAGCCCCACAGTGCGTGCTCCGCTCCCCTCCCTGCTCTACAGCCACAAGCAGGCTGTGCTCAGCGCTTCGGCAGAGCGGGCAGGAGCCAGCCCACCCGGGGGTGGGACACCTTCTGCCTCCTGGCTCAAGCATGGGACTCCTGGCTTCCTGTGTGACTGGCCAGGCTAGCAGCCGGCTGAGGCGTTAACCCAGCCACGGCCCAAACAGGACATTCAGCTGCTGGGCTGCAACTGAATTCTGCTCCGTGGGACCCGAAGCCCCTGGGGCCCTCACAGGACGCACGAAAGCGTTGAGCTGCATATTGGGTCCCTGCAGGGGGACCTTCCAGGAGCAGAGGAGGCGCTGCTGGGCTGAAGCAGGCCCTTCTGCCTGGACTGCTGTCACCCCGTGTTCCTGCGGGTGGCCCTTGATTCCCAAGGGCCCAGACACTCACATGCCGCCAATGGTGACTGTGGCGCAGGTGCGTTCTGAGAAGGCAGGAACCGTGTCGGTGGCCCCGCTGGCCGGCCGGATGTAGTCAACAGTGATGTTCACCTGGAAGGAAGGCAGGAAGACTTAGGCCGCAGAAACAAACAAGCAAATGAAGACCGCCCGGCGACCGCCAGGGCGCAGCAGCCGCGCGCAGGGGACCAGAGCACCTCCCACGAGGGAGGCAGGCCTGCTCTGCCTGAAGCGCCGCTCAGCAACCCCTGCATGCAGGAAGGGGGTCTCGCCTGGGGAGACGGCCTCCTCTCGCTTGGCTGCAACAGGGCCTGCCTCCCTTGACACAGAGCGGCCCCCCCAATAAATGCAAGTGGGGGGCACTTATAAAACAGAACAGCCTAAGAAACCTCCAGGGAGTATGAAGGAGGGTGCCGTAATTCCCAGGCAGCCTCTTGCTGGCTGGGTGAGAAGCCTCCCACCCCTCCATAACACGAGCAGCCCCCTGCCGCTCAGCTGCCCAGGAAGGCCCTTCGCTCCCCACTGGCCTTGCTCAGTTGGCAGCTCTGCTCGTCCCATGCCTGGCCAATCCTTCCACCCCCACGTGGGCATCACAGCCTTCCCAGCCTGGCATGGAGCCGAGCACCCGCATCCCGCCAGTTCTAGCCCTGGAAAAAGGTCAGGGACACTGCGGCAAACGCTGCAGCTCAGAAACGGTGCCAACGGCCTTCAGGTCATCCACGCTATCTGGCGTCTGGCCGAGAGGAAGCAGGCTTCTGCCTGCCAGCTGGAGACGCAGCAGCCCCCCTACTGGGAGGCCCGGAACCCCAAGAAGCAAACCCGCTGCCCGCCGCCTGCAGGGAAATAAGCCGCACGCGTTTCTACGTTACGCTGACAACCTGGCCTCAGGGCAGGGGCCGCTAGCCCCCCGTCCGGATCAGACTCGAAGCAGAGGCCTCCGGTGGGTGGGCCCTAACTCTGAAATGTGCCCTGGGCCCTTCCGAGGCCCTGCCACAGAAAGGGGCCGGAGGGGCTGGCTGTGCTCTGTCGACGCTGCTTCCTGGGTGGTCCAGAGCGGCAGACCGTTAAGTCCCCCTGGACCCGGGGAGCAAGCACCCCACTGCCGAACCAGGAGAGGCCACTATGCCTCCATCCACCCAGGACCATCCTGTGCGACAGGCCAGTCCCCCCCTCCCCCCCCCCTCCCCACCCCCCTCCTCCCCCACCTCCCACCCCAATCACCCCAACCAGCAACAGGCCACACCATGAAAG